GCATCTTCACTAAGGCTCAGTGGGGGTCACGGGGCAGTGATCTTGTTTTGTGGGGATTGAGGGGGAAGGACACAGGGAGGGGGGACAGAGTAGGGGCTGCATAACCCCTCCCCAGGAACTTGTCCTGGAGGTAAGCAGGGATTGGTGCTGGATGGTGCTCGTTTACATATTTTCAAGTATGCTTACGTATCATTTATATTCAGCCTTGGCGAGAAAGGTAGAGAGAAAAGGGACATTGGCATCAAGTGACCTGGCTGTACCTCTCAGGGACTGTTATTTACGTCTCTGAGTCTCAGTTTCTTCATCTATAAGTAGGGCCAACTATACCCATTTGGGGTGGTTGTACAGTGTAGACACACTCTCAGTGTGAAGAGCATGTTCACAGGTGTGCACTGTGTCACATGAGCTGGGATGTCCCCAAGAGGTGAGTCCAATATTGTTGCCTTTCTGATGCTCATTTCCAATCTCCCTCATCTCTGAGCGGAGACTGGCTCACAACTCAGCAGGGAAAGAGGAAGAAAGGAAGGGAGGGAATGAGTTTGAGTCCTGAGCGGGCTGCGGGTGGCCTTGGATGAGCTGGACTGCAGGGGGCAGGGCTGCCACTTGTCTGTTAGCTAGCAAGGGTTCCTAGTACTTCATACACGGCTTGGGTCAGGTGATGAAATACTGAGTGCCCACGGCGGGTGCAGAGGGGCACAGGCCTTGTCCTCATCTGGCCTCAGTTAGGAAACAGAACCCCCACTCCCTGGGACTGGAGGTAGGGTGGGTGGGTGAACACCACGGCCCCCACCCCCAGAGCTCCATGTCGCAGCGTCCCTGGTCCTACTGAGGCAACCCACACCGCCACACTTGCAAGGCCCTCCCTCCTGCTTTGATGGATGGAATTTGCTGGCCTAGCTCGAGCCTCCTGTCTTTCAGTTCTGTTTCCAGCTTGACAGATCTGAAGGTGTCAGATCCAACAGGGGCTGGTCACCTTTCTGGCATGCAGATTGCAAACTTGTACAATACATGCCCAGAAACAATCAGTTGTAGAGAGAGAAATGGCCTGTTTGACCTAGGCCAAAGGTCCTCTAGCTATTCCTGGGGCCATGGGTAGGCTGGCTGGGGTCTGAGGAAGGGATCATGGCTCCTGAACCCCCGGCTTCTCTGCTGAGGCCATGCCCCTTCACATGCACAGATGAGGGCCACGAAAGAATAGCAAAGGCAGCTGGGCGCAGTGGCTCACGCTCGTAATCCTAGCATTCTGGGAGGCTGAGATTCACGTGAGGTCAGGAGTTCGAGAAATAGCAAAGGCGTGTAGGCCAGGAAGGGCCTGGTGGGCAGCTGTTCAGGTCCGGGCCTCCAGGAGCAGGAGTCACAGGGCAATAAGGCCACTGGGCAGAGCCTGCCCTTCCCTGCCCACATGCTCAGGCAGCCTCCTAGGGTCGGCCAGTGGAAGCCACTGAAGGGTCACAGGGGAGCAATGTGGTCTGATGTGTAATTTAGAAAGATCCCACCAGGTGGCCAGAGGAGGGAGGCCAGACACAGGGAGACCAGGCAGAGGCTGTTGCAGCATCTGGGTGGGAGAGGGTGGGCTTAGGTACAGATGCAAGGGTTAGGGAGGCAGAAGGGGGGGCGGGTGAGAGGGGCAGGCATGGAGGAGGTCCAGGGCCCCAGGCTACTTGGGAGACACAGCTGGAATGGGGAAGTGGGAGGAGGAATGATGATCTTTGAGGGGTCAGAAGTCAGGAGGCGCCTGGATTGGCTGTCACCTGGGAACAGGTGACCCTTAGGGGATCAACCGAGAGAGGAGGGAAGAGGCAGTGAAAGTCCGGGTCCTGGGGGGTGGGCAGGGGAGGAGGGACACCAGAGGGCTCTGAGAAGGACAGTCCCACGAGCAGGAGGGGAGCAAGAGGGTGGTGGCCTGGGACTTAGGGCAGAGAGAGGAGAAACAGATGAGGGATCAAGCAGCTTAGACCTCTGGTTGGGCCTATTTCTTAAAGCGAATGTGGTTAAAGCTGCAGGGACTTCCTTGTCGGTGCTGACCTTTGCCCTGGACATTGTCTTTCCAAGACTCCCAGAAAGCCCAGTCCTCCTCCTCTTGTCCTCCTCCTCTCGTGGTGGGGCACAGGCAGCCTCAAGCTGGGTCACCACCCAGACCTCCCCGAGGGCCACCGAGCCCTCCTGGAGTGCAGGACAGACACGGCAGCATGATCTGAGCAGAAGGGTCATCACGCTAGCTTGCTCGGCGTGGGTAGGTGGGATGCTATCGGCACAGTCCAAGCACCTAAGTTAAACAAACCTACCTAGGGGCGAACTGAGTGAATCATCGGGTCCTCCCCTCAGGCCCGAGGTCCCCAGCTCCCTCCACGGCTGTCTCTTTCTTGCCCACAGTCAGGTTGGCACCTGGCGGGCAGGACCCCCTGAGCACCGGCACTCCCTCAAGCCCTGTCTCAGCTCTCCCTGGCCCTGAGCCTCACCTGCCTCCCCCTGCTCGCTGCTAACTCCACCCCATGCCCCTCCCTTCCAGCTCCCACCCTCTCTGGAGGACACCCCCACCTCAAATAAAGGCAAAGTCTCTGCCGCCAGAAATCCCTAGGCCCTTGCCTGAAACACCCCTAGCGCCCCAGCCTCCCTGCTTAATGCTGCTGCCCAGGCCCTGCCCCGTCCAGCCCTGGGCGTGCCTGTCAGCCGGCGCCGGCTTCCCTCTCAGGGGACCCCCACACCGCCTGCTGTCCACCCGCTGCAGGCCCCGCTCAGCCCCGGGACCGTGCACCAACCAACAGAGGACCTCCTTCCCCGCGTCTGTGGCTTCCCTGTGCTGCCCCTGGCCCCAGAGCACCTCTTTTCGAGCAGAAACAGTTTCCACTGAAAATGAAGGCCGACCTTGGGCACAGGCAGGAATGGACTTTCTCAGTCCGCGTTCACGGGGCGAGGAGCCCGCTGCCTGCGGCGCTGGACGGCCACACGGGCAGGTCAGAGGCCTTCAAAAGCAAGTGGCCCTCGGTTCAGCCTGGGCTGTGGCGTCCTCTCTCAGGCGGGGTTCTGGCTGGTTCTCTCAGAGCCAATGGCTCCCACAGTGCCGCGTGCAGAGGGAGGACCCGAGTATAGAAGTGGCCTGGGGTCGGAGGTCTCTGAAAGGGCTCAGGACAGAGGGACAGGGGCCTTGACCCTCAGCGGTGAGACCAGCCCTGAGGCCCGGCCGCCCAGGGCCGCAAGGAGGGCGGGCGAGGCGCTGACAGCTGATGTCATTTACTAGTTCCCACTCATTTGCTTTCTAAGCTCTGCGTACCTTTCCCTCTAGGACTCAGTTTGCTCAATGTTCTTTGCTTAGAAAACTTTAGGCTGAATGTGAAATGATTCCCTTCAGAGGAAAGCTAGCAAGTCTGTTCTGTCTTAGGAAGGTTTGTCGTCTTAATCCGTGTGCTCTGGTGCCTTGAAATGCCCCCACACTGCTCAGCCGGCCAACCCGTCCCGGGAGGAAGCGCTGTGCTCGAGACACAGGCGGCACGGGGTCTGCCTAACCCCGCTTTTGTGTGGACTTGTGTTTCAAATTCTGCTC